TGAGTTGTTTGCTTAAAGATACCAAAGCCTACACTTCTGCTTACAGCGTAACACCACTGGTCATAAGCCAGCCTTGAGCAGCGGCAGGATTCTTGGTGCAAGCAACCAGGTCTGGTGCCAGGAGGAGCACTGCTCATTTCTTCATGCATTCTGTGCTCTCTCCTGCTACCTCCGGTTGCCCTCCTAGCCCACAGGTGAGCCTGCAGCTCTCTTGTTTCATCAGGCTTGCAGAGCTCTGCAATACAACCCGGCCAGAGCTGGGATGGGGCTCTGCGCATCCATCCCCACGATGGGAAGGGCAGACATCCCCAGTGGTCACAATGGAGTGAGCCCTTCTCCTCCAAGTGCTGCAACAGCAAAGCACAGAGCACACCCGGGAGGGAAAGGCTGAAAGCAGAGCCTGGGTTTGGGAGGTGTGGGCACCTGCTGTTCCCACTGCCCTGCACTTGACTGCTCCGACCCTCTGATGTTGGACCCTGGGCACTGGAGGTTCTCGAACACTCAATGGTTGGCATCCACAATGCTTGCTGCAACCTCGTGGAAGAGTAAACAAGTTCTATGCCAAAAGCTGCTCTCATTTACAGCTACAAAAACCCAAAGTCACTCCCTGGACCGCTGGAAACACTGCTTCCATGAGCAGACATGGAAACACACGGGCTTCATCTCACTGTGCTCCAATGGCCATCGGGCTTCCAACCATCAGGCAAACCTGACTGTTGTCTCCTTATTGCTCCCAGAGAAAGAATAAACTTCTTTGTGCATAGAAACACCTCCTCAGTGAGGGCTGGAGGAGGTCTGGGCCCATGTTGCTGCTGTCCTGCACAGGGCTGCCCTGTGGGTGCCACTGCTCACGCCGGTCTGATTCTACCTGCAACACATCCTAATTAAGGAATCATTATTAAAAAAACAGAATTTGCATTCACTGAATGTGTGACTAGGAGAGACACTGCAAACAAACAGAAAACCTGCAGATTAGGATGCTAATGAGATGCATTTCTATTTATAATCTGCCTTGATCTAGCAAAAGTGTTTTCTGTTTCAGGTGTCAGTGCTACTCCCACAAATATAAGTAATTCCCTTGGCAGGGAAACACCTGCCTGCCTCCAGAGATGGGCATGGGCTGGGTAAAGTGCTGTGCTGGAGCCATGGGAGGAGAGAGGGAAGAGAACAGAATGAGAAGAGAAAGAGAAAGATGAAGAGAAGAGGAGGAGAAGAAGAGGAAGAGGAGAAGAACAGAAAGAGGAGGAGAAGAGGAAGGGATGAAAAAGAATAGAAGAGGAAGGGAAGAGAGTACAGGAAGGGAAGAGGAAGAGAAGAAAGAGAACTTGACAATGTGGAAAACAGCGACGGCATTGTTTTCTTAAAGGCAGCTTGAAGAAAGCAAGTTAAAAGACGAGTCATCATTTTGAAACGTTCCTCAAACAAGTTAAATAACTCTTACTTTCTTAACGACTTATTAATCAAACTGCATTGATTCCTGAATCAGATTCCACCACCACCAAGCTCTCTGTCTTCTCCATCCCGATGCACGCATTAACAGAGTTTTATTCTGACAGATACAATATAGCAATCAATAAAATCTTATTATATGGAGCTGAGATACGTGGATTTGTTGCAGGATTTATGCATTACTTCCAGGCCCGGTGCTATTTCATGTCTCAGCCTTAACCTGTAATTGAAAATAAATCTCTCTGAATACACCAGATTCTGATTTTCTGGAAGTATGGCAAACATGAATGGAAGCACCTTCCTGAGGGGCTCAATGCTTTCCTTGGGGGCTCAGCACCTTCCTGGGGGTCTCAGTGCTTTCCTTAGGGGCTCAGCACCTTCCTGGGGGCTCAATGCTTTCCTTGGGTGCTCAGCA